AAGGAGTGTGGGAAATTGTGAGACGTTCTCAGATGCCAGGTGCCGTCCATGATGGGCCAGCCCTTTATTGTGAGGCATGGGGCGAGTCACGTTCATTCCAGCTTTTTATTAATTTACTAATTTAAAAGTTCGAAAAACACATATGCTCGGGTTATCAGCCGTCGCTAGTAGACTTAGATTTTTTTTCACCATTCAGTGACTTAAATAAGGCAACGACAAAAAAAGGTGCCCTCTTTGAGGCTCTTTCTCTTTCTCTGTAGTTTTGATTCACTGTCATGCTGTCTTGCTGCAAGGGTCAGGGCCATTCGCCTCCATTATTTTTTTCATTCAGGACCTTCAGGTCATGCCTCAATGGTAATTAGCAATTATGATAACCAGGCAAAAATCTACTTCAAGGTCATAGAGAAACTCTCTTAGAGACTCAGAGTCTCTTCTTTTATCATGCAGGAGGCCCTGACACCTTGTGACACGTCCACTTTCACATGAGGTAACCGTTCTGTTTCTGACTGTAAACTACAAGGATTGAGAGCTGGCCTGAGGGGTGCAGACTCCATTGCAAGTGTGAACCTGCCCATGCAGGCACATACACTGCCAACTTTGCCAAGTAGCCAACACTCTTAATACCTAAGTTACCTCCCTTTTTTTCCTTAGTAAACATACTTTTTTATGAAACTTACATTGCACTAAATTAAACCGAAAATATGTCATTGAGAGAAAGATAAACAGTGCTTGACAATGTGTCCTAGTTTGACCTCAGTTCCCGTCAAACTCCTCGGAAGTTGGCTCACAATTACAAAGTTAACCCCTCCACAATCCGTGACCCATGTTGCCAGTAATGAATCCCCATTTTCCCCTTCCTCCTCCTCCCCCCCCCTCTCTCCCCCTCACCTCATATTAAACCACCAGTACTTGGCCCAGCTATCGATGTCGAGCCTGAAAACGGGCTGCACGCCGTGTCACGCCGAGCCGCCAGCGCAACAAAAAAAAATTGTTTTTGCTGGTGGCGCCAGCCTCTGAGGACCGGTACCCCGAGCCTCCGGAAGTTGCGGGGCGTTAACGTCAACGCCCCGTGGCCGATGTATGGGCCAAGTAATGGTGGTTTAAGTCTTGGTCCTTTGCTTGCTGCAGGTAGAGTCTCTTGTGTGGCAATGTGTGCTAGCTCAGCCTAGGCTGTAATTTCCATTTTGCAATGCATTTCCTCTGAAGTGAAAGCTCTTTTCATCGTCATAATCTTGAATTGAATGCAATGTCATTGCTGCTAAGTGCTGCAGCTTTTGATACTCCTTGAGACTCTCCTGGAGTTTCTCCATTATCTGGAGGTACCTGAACAATGTGTCTTTTGGCCACAGTGCTTCTGTTGCATGTAGCGTGATGATCGCCCGGAGCTGCCTCAGCGCGGTGGACCACTCCAGACCTCCATCATTGGGATAACCCATGGCAGATGCAGCAGCCGCAAACCGCATGGGGAGTGCATTCGACCCGTGCAATCCGCCACCTTGGCCACCCATTGCAGCATCTTGCGACACCTGGAAGGTCATGCTCTCACGGAGCGGAGATCTTGTGCTAGTCGGCTGTTCTCTCTCGGAATTGGTCCCCGCAAGGTTCAGGCTGCCCATATTGCCATCCCAAGTGTGCCTTGGGGACCTTTTGGTCTCCGCATTCGCCTTCAAGGTGTCCATTTCTTCAGTTCCTACCCCTCCTCCATCTCCTGGAATGGCCCTCTCCTTTTCCGCTGGCTTTGACGCAGCAACTGCTGCCTCGCCTGTTTGTCTAGAATCCTTATCTGTGTCCCTCATTCCTTCCCTACTCTGCTTCCGCGACGGCCCAGGAGAGCCTGACATGCCTGCATCTCCTTCAAAGAGAGGCAGATTACCCTTGTACATCGCCGGCCTCATGCCAGTCAACAAACGCCCCTTCCCTTTTTCCGCTGATGTTTCGCCCGACTCCACATTTCGTGCCAGAGCATTCCTCTTGTGCGAGGAAGGTTGCTCTCCTCCTGCCACTAGCTCTGCAGCCCTCAGTGTTGGTGATTGGTTCTCAGACGCTGTCTCAGAGCGCCGAGGACCCTGCTGATGTGCATGGGGGGCTTGGGATCCCTCCACTCCCTCATCGGGACTGTGACTGTCAAGCTGGTCTAGGTCTAGTCTTTCCCCCTGGACCCCAGTAGTAGCTGTTACTGGTTCAAACTCCTGTGAAGGGTGCAACTCTCTCTCCTGACCACTGGACTCAGCCCCTGCGGCAGCGTCTCCTCTAGCAGGAGTGGCCAACCTTTCAAGTGGGGGCTCAGAAAAAGGCACTTTTGGCATGTGGGGCTGGTCTTGTGGGGTTTGTTTGCTGATGGCGGGGCCTCCTGCTCGACCTTGACCGCTGCGAGAGTCATAGTCTAAGGGCCCCCCCCTCATATCCCCTGCCGAGTTCTTGAGGGGTGCATCCGCTGCCACTTGCCCTTTCTCCAACAAGCCAGTCTGAGGGGCCTCCACATTCCGGCGGGCTTTCTGCAGGTAGGGTTGCCACCCTTTTGGGAAGTCTGCCGCGTTGCCCCTAAACATAGCCTCGCGGGCGGATTTCCGGGGCGAGAGGCCTGCTGGCAGTGTATGCAGTTTCTTGGGATCCCCACCCACCCAAGGAAACGGTGCCACTCCTATGCCCCCCCCCACTTTCCCCATGACATTAGTACCTTGATGTTCCTCTGCCGACCCGGGCTGGCCCTTACCTTCGCTTCCGGGCCTGTCCGGGCTACCGGTCAACGGGCCCTTTGACCCTTTCAGAATCTGACCGTCTCCCAAGTGGTGGTCCTCCGGCTGGTGAACCGTCGGCGGAGCGTGCCATCTCCTAGCTGCAGCAGACAAGGGCTTACGAGCCTTTTGCGTTCTCTTCACTTTCTTCTTGGCCTGCTTGCGCTTGAGAGCGTCCGCAGCTTCCATCTGCTCAGCTATGTTGGCAAAGTTCCGTACCATGACGGCGACGATGATGTTGCGGAAGACGAAGGCCCCAATCCATATCCAGGATATGAAGTACAAGAGGGTGACCGCCTTGTTGACTTTGGTCGACACCTCCCTCTGCATGTTATACCACTGGTCAAGCGTGAGCATCTGGAAGAGCATTGCCAAAGTGTTGGGAATGTCCTTGAGCTTGTACTGGTAGACAAGAGCGGGGTCCCGGGACAAGCTGTAGGATTCAAACAGGTTGAGAGCAAAGATGGCATAGATGTAGAGGAGAATGGAGAGGAGGATCATGATGAAGAACATGGACTGAAAGGCCTGAAGCAAAGTGTGAACGATGACTCGCAAGGACCAGAACCTGGCCACCATCTTCAGCGACCTGAGGGTGCGGAAGATGCGAAGCCGGCTGGCTATGGAGGCTGCAGCGTTGGAGCTAGCTCCCTGAGGCATGGCGAGGATTATGAACTCGGGGATGGCGCTTACTGTAGTGATCAGAAAGTCGAAGATGTTCCAGTTGTCGTCCCAGAACTCCTTGAAGGAGTGCACCCATTTGATGAAGATCTCGATCATGAACATGATGAGGATCGCGATCTCTGTCAATCGAAGAGCTCGAAGCTCGTCAGCGTGGAAAGCGGGATCCAGCTCGAGCTCGACCCCGACGACCACGGCATTTAGGAAGATCAGCATCATGACGCCATTCTGGAACCATTCATGATTACTAATCCAACCAGCCCACAGAGATATGGTGGCATAGATTGTCGGACGGGGGCGCTCAAGCTGAGGGACACGCTTTCGACCTTCGTCGGTGCTGCCGGCGACTTTTTTGAATTCCTTGAAGTCGATGAACTGCAGTGGGTTCTCCATCAAAATGCTCCTCAAGATCTCTGGGTCGCGGAGAATGTCGTGGCTGGAATAAGCAGGACCACTCTTGCCCTCGCTAAGGTTCAGTCGCTTCGACATGTCCGATACCTGAAAGATTTGGTACAACTGATTGCGAAAAACTGACGACCTTGCGGCGATGTCCACGGGGGGCTGCATTCCTCCCTTTTCCGTCGTCATCTTGAAAAGTTTTTTTTTCCGAGAAAACTTCAACTTTTGTCCGCCTCCTCCTCCTCCTCCTCCTCCTCCTCCTCCTCCTCCTC